AGGATTAATCACATTAATACTTACTAACACATTCTGGGAGAGAGTAGTTATGAATTAGAACTGCATGTTGTCCATTACATACATAATCAATGCCATTCAATATCAAAGAATACCAACTGTTTTCCTCACAATGTGTTGGTAATTGCATTCAAATTAAGAGTACAATGCCAACAGTCGCATCCTGAGACACGAATGCTTTAAAATAGTTGATATTATGTGGGAATACAAAAAAACATGACATTTGTCCTCAATTTTTAAGTAGAAGTGTGCATTGTGTATTACTCAAATACGGTGGATGGTATCACCACCAACACACTCACACTGTGAGTAACACTATACTTTAATAAACACATGACTTTAATGCCTAAGAAATCCAACAGTTAATGTTTACAACATACAAGCATGTCAATAAGTTAATAGATTCTTAGATATTATTTTATCAGTGACTATTTTTTCCATATTTATACAAAACACAAAACAGAATGACAGTACACTAGAAACACCTTATCAGTATTTATCTGTTGTGTAAATACAATGTTTGGTTAACTGTATACCGAAATGAGAATGCCTTCTAGCTGACCCTAACCTACTAACTGATCCCGTAACAGAATTATATGTATCTAAGGTAAGTTTTCACTTCTAAGGGCCTTGGGCAGATTAAGAAATCAGTGAATATACCTGACGAGTGATTGAACAATACATTCAAGTTAAGACTTGTCAATAGTTCAATGAGCTATTATAAGAACAGCTGAACAACTCACATCTAATGACCAGCCATTGTGAAAGAACTCCAAATGACAATACTAAAGTATAAACAGCAGAGAGTAATCGGAGTTAAACACAAGTAATTACCAAGAAATTACAATCATATGCAGACAGCAAGACACAGGTGTTTTCAATAATCATGTTAGTGTTTGGGTAATGTTAGATATGTTCTCACCTTCAGATACTGCAGTTTACTCTCAGATTACAGCATGGAAATAATCCACTATATATTTGGCACTATAGTAGGGTTGATCTATGGTATGTAGGAATTATTCACAGTGCCACAATCACCGCACACAAATGGTTCATTGTGAATTGACCAGGGGGGTTCAGGTCAGGTCAACTGCAGAGGGAGCCCCGTAAACAGTACTATAAAATGTTTTCTGCCCATCCTCTTTTATTATAGTAAATTATAGTATGTTGTTACCACATGCTATTGTTACATTTAGAGCTAGGTGGCTTGTACTTTTCACAATTCAGTCTGTAGCAACCGATAAAATATGCCACATTTAAT